CCAGATTTCCCTGCCACCCCCAACCAAATATATGAATCCAACAGAGGCAGGAGCTCTGACCTAGCCCCATGTTTCTAAACAAGGCAGGTAGTGGTGCCCCCGCTCCCAGGTATATAAGGCCAAGCTATGACAAGCAGCAGGTTACAAAGTGTTTCAAAGTATGTAATCTCAATTGTCCAGCTCAATTCCAAGTGGAAAAGAGGTACATTTTTAGAAATTTCTTCTGAGAAAGCTACTAAGTGGCAAAGCCGAAGACCAAACATACAGGATATCTCTACGTCAACCTACTTCTCATTTCCAATTTATAGCTCATTTTATAGTATTTCATTGATCCTATGATGCACACTTTTTCATATTTTAACACTGAAATCAGGATTCACAATTAATGGAGTGTCATAACTGGCAAGTTTTCTTATTAGTACATAAAATGTCTTAAAATAGATATACTCAATGAAATATGATATAGTTCTTTCTGTTCTATCTCAATCACCATTTCCACAGTTTACATGTGGACTGCTTGTACTACTAGCAGGAGAAGCCCCTACTACCAGGAGAGACTACAGTACGTTATGGCACATAAGGTCTCTGCCTTCCTAGCCTTTAAAATCTAGCAATTAAGCTCTTTACCTCTAGTCTCTACCCCTTCTGGAGCCTACACTACAAGTTAGTTTTACCCTTCTAACAAGTGGTCAGGCCTGTTATTCCTTTGCTTGTCTCCCATTAGAGCATGATCTCGGGCCTGTATATCCACTAGGGACCATGTGCTGTAGGGCTGGCCGAAGAGTGCCAGTTTCAGTATCTGTTGTTTAGTTTAACTTCTAATTGTCCATCAGATCTTGGCCTAAGGTTCCATTTTTTTATGTAACCCTACTGAGCTGGGTGCTCCTTGCATTCCCAGGGCCTTGCACAATGCCCGGGACACCCTATGTTCTTATTTAGCGGAAAAATTGAGGCACAGGCTTCCTTAAAAAATAGGCACAGTGGTAAATACATGGGCAGGGAAAAACAGTTTCAGAAAGGAAACTTGGGTTTCTGATTTTATTACTGGTAGTTTATTGCACAGGTTTTTCTGCATCAAAAACATATCTGCTAAAAGGAGAAACAGGTGTGTCTGAATTCAGATTTCCCTCAGACCTCTAAAAGTAGTATTTCCCCTAAAAAAGAATCCACTCATCTAATTTTAAAGAAAATATACTTCTTACACAAGACAGTCCAAACTGATGCAAAATATTTATTCCAAGTTAGTTATTTTATGCAGTAGTTTTCCCCCTCAACAGACTTGTGATAACCACATCTTTTAAATCTGTAAATAATGTTATCAAAATAATCTTAATCTTTGAAATCTCACAAAAATGTATATTTTACAATCCACCCTGAATATCAAGGCTGCAAGAATAACACATTTCCTATATCCAAATATTTTACAGCTGTACCCAGAAAGAAAAAAAAAAAAGTGAAAAAACCATATATGCTGGGCTAAGGGCTAATGTTACCCGAGCAGCCAGAAATAAAATAAAATATCCAAATTATTAGCATTAATTTAATACAATTATAACTTCAATAGTCACTTTGTCATTGACAATGATTGCTTGAGCACAGGGGTGAGTGCCCCAAGGGCTGGTAGTAGAAGCTGCTGCTGCAGACCAGTGTCTCCTCCTCTCTGCCCTGCCAGCTCCCACCTGTGCATCGCCCCATATATACTGTGTGTATGTGTGTGTTTTAAAAATCTTTCCCACCACACGAAGTTCTATTAAGCAGATAACAGGGAAGAACAACAAAAGCTAAACAAGCCAATCGCTCGCTCTCTCTTTGGGATATGATTATTTCCCTTGTGCATGAAGTATTCAACAACAACATAAGAAAAGGAAAAGGAAAAGAACGATTTCTCTTCTGTATAACCCCTAAACGCACAAGCTGAGTTTACTGGGTCAGATTTAACAGTAAGCATTTATACGCCTACTTCCAGGCATCGTCATCAGATGTTTCACTGCTACTTGTTTCCGTGTCTGAGTCCTCAAACTGTGCTTTACAAGTGTTTCTCCAAGGGGAGAATAGGCTAGAACTTCGGCTCTGCAAGAAGCCATTCTTCCCAAAGCCATTTCTTCTCAGCTGTGGTTGGCAAGGGAAAGAAAGAAAAAGACAACCGTCAGTAACTATACTGGCACATGGGACCTGGGAAAGGCCAGGCCTCAATTCAATTCTAGGCAGAATGTAGAGGGGGACCCTTCTAAGAGACTGAAGATTTCTTACAGCAGTGCTTTTCAAACTGTAATGTGCCAATTAATCACCTAAGGATCTCTTTAAAATGCAGACTGATTCAGTATGTCTGGGGTAGTTTGAGATTTCCTATTTCGACAAGTTCTCAGGTGATGACAATGACAGGGGAACAGAGTTCTGAGTAGCAAAGTCTTTATGTCAACCTATACTTTTCTTTATAGGATTTTAACACCATTGTTATTTATGCTTTAAATATATACCACCAGAATGTAAGTTTCATGAAGTTTGTAGAGACCTGGCAGTGTTTTACTCAGAGAAAGAACCCAGGCATTTGTTGAAGAAATTCAGATAGGCTATTTGGCTTCTTGGCTCTGGCTGGACTACCAGAGGTAAACCACAGAGCTGGAAGCAGAGGGTTAGCCTGCTTAGCCAGAGACCAAGGGCTTAGCCCATAACCTCAGGAATACAGCCTTGTGGTTCTGATAAGGAGTTACAGCTTCCAGGATGAAATAACATACTGCTTTCTGAAATCTGCTAACTACTGACCTGGTTTTTGTGTCCACCACTGGCCTGGGCAGAATGAGATGCTCCTCCATACTTCTACAATGGCAACTTACTAAGTAACTTTTCTTTTTCAAGGTCTTTCTCACACCCTAAACTGGGGCTTCCTAAGGGCAATGATTGTCATATCTCCTTTCGCTCCTAGTCATTAACTGGTCTCCAGCAAAAGTTTATGACATACCTCCTCTGTCTTCATGTGGAACTCTTTGAGCTCATCCTCTGTGAGGGGAAGGCAACTCTCATCATTTTCAGGATACTCCTGCCATCCCATTGCTTTCAATAACCTGGTAGAGGCAGGTCAGGCAAAAAAAATATACCTTTAAGCATAAGTGAGAAGTCCACAACTTTCCAGCCCAAGGACAATGGTACCCACCTAGATGTTAGAGAAGAAACTTGGGTTTTTCTTTTCTTCCCAGTGGGATAAGCTTTAATTATGACTACTTAGGTGCTTGGAATTAGATGGAGGATCTCCGCAGTTGCTCTTTGGAGAGCGTAAGAGCTACAGAGAAGGGACGGTAGAAGTAGCAGTATAGAGTCACACTATCCCACAGACGAAAACGGAAGAAATCTCACTTTGTCTCCTGTGAGCAAATTAGCACATAGCCACATGTACCTAAGCTCTCTTTTAATTTCATGGCACTGTGGACTCCATAACCTTGTGATCTTGCTGACCCCTTTTAAAGTTCCTCTGGACAGGAGCCCCTTTTCAGGAAGGTACTTGGCAGGCCCCATCTGCCATCCAGTTGCCCACACAGCCTGGCTGGCTCTGTGTTCAAGGTCCTCATTTAAAGAACAAGCTCCATTACCTTTGGGCCTCATGAATCCCAGGGCCCCTAAAGGGGTCTTGTGGTAACTTCTCACTTGGGCCAGGAGGGGCCAAGGGGCCACCACAACAGCACCAGGAAACAGGTCTCACCCCACCCCACCCCTTCCAACTGGAGCCGTAAACTGACTCTGAAACTAAACTACAAGAATGCCTTGGAGAGGAGGGTGTGAAAATGCTAGCTGAGTCTGTAAAGGAATACCCAGTGGGCAAAAGGCCAGCCTGCGGCACACAGAGAGAACAAGGTGTGGTGCTGGGGGCACTTCTCTCTGTACTGGACTCTGAAATGTCTTAAGTATGTTGAAACTCCTTGTAGGCCATACACAGCGTGCTTTGTGATCTGACCCTCACTTACCTGTGCTCTGCTTCCAAAGAGTGAGAGAGGACCTCCCCTTCGTCTTCTA